CCCTTAAATACCTGAATATTAACAAAAACTTACATTGTGGATCCTGAAGAGACAGAGTGCCACCACATGGGCACACCACTTGGCTCCTGCCCCACAGGTACAGCTGCAGGAGGTGATGCGACAGCGATCAAACATGACCGCCACGTTGTAGGCTCCTTTAGACTGACTGGACTGAGTGGAGACTACTGTAGCACTGAGATGAAAGCCTTGTAAACGAAAACAGAAAAAAACAAAATCAGCAAAGACAACAATGAGTTGGAAACGGAAGCAAGTGCATTTCTTTGATTGGAGATTATATTTTAGTGTCCGACAGAATGGTTTTGGTTTCGATATTGCTTAGTCTTTTATTTAATATAGCTCTTTTGTGCAAAAGGTTTGCAATCTTACAAGGATTCAATTCCAGACCAAAATATTCTCTCCCACAAAAAAACAAAACAAAACGCAGGCATTGTTTGAGGTTTTTCCATTTTCTAATCCATGTCATCACACAACACATTTGTACAAAGTCCTACTAGAGGAGAAGGTGCCTCAAACAAATTCAGACCAAGTCATATAGCATTCACACCTATGGGCAATTTAGTGTTTCCAATTAACGTATCTCCACTAACTGCATGTCTTTGGACTGTGGGAGCAAGCCGGAGTACCCAGGGAGAACCCACGCAAACATGGGAGAGCATGCAAACTCCACACAGACAGACCCCGGCCTGATGCTGGAGTTGAACTCAGGACCTTCTTGTTTTGAGGCAACAGTGCTAACCACCGTTAGCCGACCAGCACCTTAACCCACTCTGCATAATACATATCAAAAGTATTTGTCATTAAAAGTTGGATGCGTCTGCACAGCAAATGTCACCATTTAATGTGGTATTTGGAAGATTTGCAGTTAAAAGTTGGAAATGGTGTTTAGATATTACACATACCCAGCGTTCTGAAAACAGGATTATACTAATAGCAGACTTGTAGAAATAATGGGAATCAGATGATTTACTGTAACCTGCACATGGTGTTATTCTAAGCTTGGTGATTGTAGAAGAATATAGTGTGATATACCAAAGTTAGAACACCAGAGAAATGTCTTCCATAAGAGTACTCATTCTTATGTAAAGGATTACTCTACTTACCAATTTGCAAAGGGTCTTTGACAGCTCTGATCCTATAGAGTTGTTCTCCACGCTGGAATTCATCTGGACTCCCATTAGCAAGGCAGGAATATAATCTGCAGCAGTATGAAACCAAAGTCAAAGAGTCAAAGTCAGCATAGCCTAGATAGTTTAAAAAAATCATCCTGTTACTTTTATTAGCAGTCACATCGCCAACAAACATCAGTCAACCAGACAGCCATGGACGCCTTTCCTTTCATCCAGTCTCGATTTTGTTTATTTCAATA